CGGCAGTTTACTGTCGAAATTTCGTTTGTTAACAGCTGATTTTTTCGGCCATTAACATCCGAATTTTCAGCTGTTTGTGCTGATTATTTTTTTCATAACAGTAGTTTTATTTGTTAACTAAAAGGTATTGTCTTTTTAACACAAACATATTTTGGGATTATTGTCAATTGTAAAAGTCAAAATGGAATTATGTGGCTTTGACTAGGTCATTTTTACAAGAACCCCATAAATAATTAAATTGTTGGGCTTAGGACATTAAAATAAAGTGTGAGATTATATATGTGGAGACGGGATCCATTAGATTTGTATTTGAAGATGTGCCAAATATGGAAACTGGAAAAAAAAAAATCAAGAAGAATTATTTGAGCTATTAAATCGAAGAACAAGACAATCAAGATTATGGAGCAAGAAGCCAAATCAAAATCAAGAACTCAAGAACCAATAATTAGGATTCAAGATCCAGAATTATTCCCAAAGAATTAAGGTATGTTCCGCATTATTAATTTTCTTGATGATTTGGCACGAAAGATCTTGATAATAAAGTTGATAATAAAGTAATTAGGTTTTCAAATTTTAAAGTTTAAGTTTCATAAAATTTAACAAGTTCCCCTTGCATTTTGGTAATTAATACTGACAAAAAATGTGCTGAATCTGAACATCTCTTCTGCTTGAGAAAAAACAAGCATTATATGTTCGAATCCAACAACATTAGTCATATGATTTGAGGTGGAAAATTTGGCACCTAGAAGTGTATGAACTCTTGGTTGCAGACTGCTCAAACTTTTTCACTGCAGCTTCATTCTCAACTAAGCCTGTCTGGACGAAAAACTTTCCCCACCAAGATGAGCTCCTCATTTTCGCCTGGACATATCAAGCAGCCATATGGTCATTTAGAATTTAGAAACACCTACCGGAATCACAACCTGACGAGGATTGATTGACATCATAAAAGTTTCGCTTTATTGCGCCTCCTATTAAAATTATTCCACTATTCTTAATCTTCGTAATCTTAATAAATTTTTTTAAATCACATAAACAAGTTATGTCTACAAATCATGGACTAGGATTTGATGATCAACTAAGTGTCCAAGTGTTGGATTTATCATATTTCTGTATCTGGATATAGACATTAACTTAATTTCGTGATTTTTAGAAATTTATAATATGCATAAGAAAGTTGTGGAGAATGATCATATTTGGGCATACTTCCTAGTATATGTTCACAGCAAACTACTCATTTCATTACTGTAGGTTTATCCAAGTGTTTCAATGTTCGATATATCTTGGATATATATTTCGGACATTCCATGTTTAAGTGCTAAAATTAGACATCTGACAGCATGAAATCCAATAGGCAACATCAGCTTACCGGGCGTCCAAACTTGGACAACTCTGGTACTTCAGCTCTCGAATGACCTGGATAGCCTAAAATAAACAATGAGAGGTTAAGGTTAATCAGGTTCTGGGAGAAGCCTAAAAAAGGGAGATGAAATTAGTCATAGTAGGAGTTTTTAGTTCAAGGAACCTTGTATATGAATACATAAGAATGATCCTCGGGTAAATTGAATGAATGGTTTAAACATAACTTGTATTCATCAATAAACACAATTCTCCAACGTATTGTTTAATTAAAAGATTATGTGATATGACTAAGTTATAGAAAATTACCAGTAAAAATAACAAGACCAGTACTCGACACTCTTGCTAAATCCGGAATAGTCTTGTTCAGGTACTTTGGAGACAGATAATCTACAGCATCCGAGATAACAACTAGGGAGAATGATTTAGCCCTGTATGGTAGAGGGAACTTAATATCAGAAACGCGCACTATGCCCTTATGCACTAGACTTCTGCAATTCCTATCAGCATCCTCTGTATCATACGGTTCAACACCCCATGCTTCGGTTTCTTCTTCTTTTAACAGTTTCTCGACCACTGAACAGGTATCGGGTCCAACATGCAAAACTTTGTGAACACTGTCACCATATGCCATCTTTAAATATGGCATTGCCCTCTGAACTTCTGATGTGCATGTGAAATCATCTACACATTTTGTAAGAGTAGTGCTTAGTTTGGCTCTGTTTCTATGGTACCACAGATAAGTAGGATTACTAAGTTCAAATTATGATGTCCATCCAGTGGGGGCACTTTCCACACTGCTTGCTTTAAATTTGATGCAAATATTAAAAAAAAAAAATCAATATAGAAGTTCACCTTCAATTCTAGCTAGTGATTCCTTGACCTGGGCTCCACCTACATTCAGAAAGATAATGGATCAGTTGATGAGTAAGAGTGAAACACTTGGTGCATGTTTGGCACGCTGTACACCATATCATGAGTCCTACAATCAAAAAGGTACCTGAGTCACGAAAAGTATACCCAATAATGAGGATCAAGCCCTGAAAGTTACAGTACACAAACATTTCAGCATTTGAAAAGGCAACAAATCATGTAAAACTGGTTATAAAATGATGGTGTGAAAACAAACTGAAAAGGAAACAGAAAATTAATGTTGCAATTACCAAGAACATCAGGGTTTTGGATAATAAACGACGGGAACTCGATTTTGGATGAAAAGTTCCCCCCAAGCTGCCAGTACCAATACCGCGCTGAGTTGAAGTTGATGGCCTTCGTGACATGACTAAAATAATATGCCACCCCTGAAAATTTTACACTGGTGCAGAAGAAACGAATAGATACTTAGAAGTAGGCCATAGAAAATTTGGGTATAATCAAGTTTTAAAAAGGGAAGTCCAATAAAGCATTGTAAATGAAGGATCGCGTGGTTATCTGAAAGACAACTTTTTTGATCAAGCAGCTAGTAGATTACCTTCAGTGTTGTGATATAATAAATGTATGTCATTTAGAATTTTCTTGCAAAAAAATCAGTGGGATTTTGGAAATTAATCCGTAGAAGAAGAAGCGAGAAAAATGAGAGCAGCATAAAATATATGCATGCAAAAATCTCAACCAATTCAATTACTAAAAGCTATTTGCAGCATTGAACAGGAGTGAAATCTATACCGTGATTAGTGATTACAGTGTAGTTACTTAGAGCAATTTGATTCAGAAGGAGCAGATATAGCAGTGGATGGCACGAAATCGTACAAAAATTCAAGAGAGATTGTAGAGAAAATTGCTGTTGCGTAATGAAGATTACCATCAAGAAATTCCAAGGAGATAATGGCAATAAGGCTGGAAGGAATCTTAGGAATGGATCGGTCTCTTTCCACTGCAACTGATAATGGTAACTCAGCAGGATTAGATGGAGGTTTTGTTGAAAGTAAGTCATTCACAACAATCAAATATAAGCATGTTTTTACACAAACAAATCTGACATTACCTTCCAAGTTTGGTGATGAAGAAGATGAGTGATCCTTGCAGAAATCAAGGATCCACATAGTAAAATTGATGCCACACATCTCCCTTTTTCCCTCTCTTTCACAGTAAATTGCTCCTATTTTTAGTGCAATACTAAGGAAATAATCCATAGCCACTTGTCCTGTTCTATTGCTCTATTAAGACCTTAAAACAGGTTGATGGATTACACCAATAAGATTGGCTTTCAATTGGGTTATAAGCAAACACCACATAATTAATTTTGTCTAGGCATTGAATTTTCTCCGCCAACTTTATTTGCATTCAATTGAATTCGTCCACCTGTTAATAACTCCTGGTTGAGGGTTTGAGAAGTCTTTTGAGTCTAAGGGTTCGTTTGGTGGGCAAATGTGGAAAAACTTTCTAATTCCATGTAAGCTGGAAAATAAAAATCCAAGTACCCCCACAGGAATGCATTTTCCATGAAATTGGCAAAAAACAAGCTTAAAGTGGTTGTACCTTGAAATTTGAACTTCAAATTGAATTCCTCGAATGTGACATTTTCCACGGAATTTAAATCAATCAAACGGGCCCTAAATATTTTTAGTGTTTGTCCACTTTTCTTTGAATTTTAGAGTGTGGAGTAGCTTAAAAAATTGATAAAATTGATGGAATTCATAAATTTTCAATTACAAATTTCATTTACTTTTATTAAAATTAACTAACTTATACTTCCCAATCAATTATCTTTGGGTAGACGATAAAATATAGCCCATAACGCTCACATTTCAATACATAGGCCACATTTTGTGATGCGTAAATCAAAATCCAAGGCCATTGTAGCGAATAAAATAGCCTAATGTTATGTCATGTTCATCAGTTGCACCTTAGATGACCCAAATCTCATGGAGCCTTCAAATTTTCCGCCAAATTTTGAAAACTTGCATAGACCAAAGGGACCTCATAAAAGGCAAATCTTTACACGCCTGTTATGTCAAGTCCCTCATCCCAGAATCCACATATATTTCCAACCATTTCATCCTCCTTTACTCCAAATGCAGCCGTCTGTCCGCTGCTCGTAAAGCATTTAATCTCATACTTGATCCCAATGTCTTCTCCTTTAACGCCATTATTGCTGCCTATGCTAAAGAATCACAACCTCACATTGCTCATCAGCTGTTCGACAGAATTCCCCAACCGGACATTGTATCGTACAATACTCTTATTTATGCTTATGCTGACCGTGGTGACATAAGGCCCTCACTCGAACTTCTTTCTGGAGTTAGGAGTGTGGGTTTAGATATGGATGGATTCACTTTTTCTGCGGTTATTAGTGCTTGTTGTGATCAGGTTGAACTGGTAAAACAGTTGCATTGTTTGGCTCTTTCGGGTGGGTTCGATAGTTATGCTTCGGTTAATAATGCTTTGATATCTGGGTACAGTAAGAATGGGTTTTTCAGTGAGGCTGAGACGGTGTTTAGTGGAATGTGCGGGAATAAAGATGAGGTCTCATGGAATTCGATGATAGTGGCGTACGTTCAGCAGAGGGAAGGTTTGAAGGCGCTGGCATTGTATCAAAAAATGCTGCGTCTGGATTTATATGTGGACATGTTTACTTTGGCGAGTGCGTTGACTGCATTTACGAGCATCGAGGATTTGCTTGGTGGGATGCAGTTTCATGCCCAGTTGATCAAAATGGGGTTTCATCGCAATGCTCATGTTGGAAGTGGTTTGATTGACTTTTACTCGAAATGCAGCACTTCAATGTTGGAATCTGAGAAGGTGTTTCAGGAAATACCTGTGCCTGATTTGGTGCTTCGGAACACCATGATTTCTGGCTATTCGAAGAATGATGAGTCGTCCGAAGAGGCTCTTATTTACTTCAAGCAGTTGCAACACGCTGGTCACTTTCCTGACGACTGCAGCTTTGTTTGCGTGATAAGTGCATGTTCTAACTTGGCATTGCGTTCACAAGGACAGCAGATACACTCTCTGGCAATGAAATCAGATATCCCATCCAACAGAATAGCCGTAAATAATGCCCTGGTTGCAATGTACTCCAAATGTGGTAATTTGCAAGATGCGAGGAGGCTATTTGATTGGATGCCAGAGCATAATAGTGTCTCTTTAAATTCTATGATTGCAGGCTATGCACAGCATGGGCTTGGAATCGAATCTTTGAGACTTTTTGAACGGATGCTCGAGAAGAATATGGCTCCCACTGGTATAACTTTCATCTCTGTTCTTTCTGCTTGTGCACATACTGGAAGAGTTGAGGAAGGGAAGAAATATTTCAATTTGATGACTGGAAAATTTCTTATAAAACCAGAAGCAGAACACTATTCGTGCATGGTTGATCTTTTGGGTCGAGCAGGGAAATTCAGCGAAGCAGAGGTACTTATTGAGTCGATGCCATATAGTCCTGGCATCATTGTTTGGGGTTCATTGCTTAGGGCTTGTAGAACACATGGTAACATAGACCTAGCTGAAAAGGCAGCCAACCAATGTCTTCAGCTCGACCCTTCAAATGCTGTGCCATATGTTATGCTTGCACATATGTACGCTAGTGCCAGGAGATGGGAAGAAGTGGCAACAGTCAAAAAGTTAATGAGAGATAAGAGAGTGAAGAGGAGACCGGGTTGCAGTTGGATAGAAGTTGACAAGAGAATACATGTTTTTGTAGCAGAAGATATTTCTCACCCAATGACGCGGAAAATTTATGAGTTTTGGGAGAATATGTCAAAGAATATGAAGCATGCAGGATACATTCCAGATGTCAGATGTGTCTCGGTCAGAGATGATAGATTAACGGAAGAAGAAAAAGAAACAATATTGCTGCATCATAGTGAGAAGCTGGCAGTTGCATTTGGGCTATTATCGACTAAAGACACAGACCCTATAGTCGTCATGAAAAACTTAAGAATATGTGGAGATTGTCATAATGCAATTAAACTCATAACTGCTATAACTGGAAGGGATATTACAGTTAGAGATTGCCACAGATTTCACTACTTCAAAATTGGGCAGTGTTCCTGTGGGGATTTTTGGTGATACATGTGTCTTGCCATAGTTTCAAAAGGATAACGACTAGAGAGTTATTTCCGCTTAGAATTTTGGAGAATGCATATTGGAACTTACTACTGAAAAAAAATGTGCCGAACCTGAACATCTATTTGCCTAAGAAAAACAAAATCATTACGTGGCTCAGATATTATATGTTTGAATCATACAAGTGATGTGACTAGTCGTGCAATTTGAGGTGGATAATTTGGCACCTTGGAGTGTGCTGCAGATTGCTCTACTTTTTCGTTGCAGCTTCATTCTCATCTAAGCATTTACGGATAAAACCATCCCCACCAAGTCAAGCTCGTCTCATAGCATGTAAGTTTGTATCGGAGAATAAACGCTAGCTTGGTTAAGGTGATAAGGTCTATGATGGGAATTTAGGGAAGTTGGTCTGATTGGGTGTCTTTATTCAAGCAACAGTACATATGACGAATGAAACATAGTGAGAGACTGTTCGACAAGCTTGATGATCGAGAGAAACAAAACAATTGTTTTATTATAAAAAAAAATCAAATTCCAAGGTGTGTGACCTTTTAATTTAAAAGTTATACATCATTTCACTTTCTCGTATAGAACCTTAATTCAATCTAACCAACAAAAAATAAAAGTAATGGTTCATAATCACATCGTTACATTAACTGTTCTAATAAAAAAAAAAACTCAAATTACTCTATTTTTGACATATAATTAAAAGTTACCAAGCACGTCACTCTCTAACGCAAAAAAATATTCCTCATAACTCCTTCGGGGATGGTCGAGTGGTAGAGCAGGTGAACCCGCAAATCAAAGGTCACGAGTTCGAATCCCCTGCTAACATTTTCTAGATCGAGCCCGTCACATCAGGCTTGCCTAGTGCGGTTTACCTCTCCTGCGTGATTTGCGAGCTATTGCACATGAAGCGGGGTTTACCTAGTACGCACTCACAGTAGTCGGGCCTCCGCTAGAGGGTAACGGCTATGGGTTCCTACGTATAAAAAAAAAAAAGTGTATATATATGTATATATTATTTATTTATTTATTTGCAAACATAATAGATGAAGACATTGTATTGTATTTGTCTAAGAGGAAATTACACGAATCTATGTATTTCAAGATCACATTTCAAAAATCAGAATTTATAAAAAAAATTCAAAAATCAGGTATCAATTTAAACTTTTTAATATCTTAAAATTAAATTAACTTCATCCATCCAAACCCTAATTATTTCTCACTCTTCCTTCTCTCTCTTATTTTATCTCCTTTCTCTCTCCTATTCATCTCACTCTCTCAATAAATCTCCATATTCATGGCCAGTGAAGACGACAACAAGAAATTGACGTCGTTAATAATGGAGTCCAGGCCTTTGCACCCGCTTCACCAAATGGCAGAGACCCCCATCTCACAAGCTCTTCCTCAAGCAATAGCTGAAAGAAGAAGAGCTAATCCTCAACAGAATCTCCCTCAAAGCGACCCAAACCGACTCGGCCCCAGAACGAGATCACGCAATTCTACCGCCTCTTCTTCCTCTTCCACTCCATTGCCCTAATCCTCCTCTTCAGCGCCTACTATTGGATTTACAAGGGTTATTTTGTGTAGTTAATTTGGGAATTGGAATTTGGAAAATCTGAGAAAATCCTTACTATTGTAGTGAGGTTTGGGCGGTGTTTTGTGTGGTGATGGGTGGTGGTGGTGGTGTTTTGTGTGGTGGGTGGTGGATCTGGCGATTGGAGTGGGTTTATTGGATTTTGGAGGTGGAAGTGGTGGTTTTGTAGTTGAAAATGGTGGTTTGTTGGTGTTGGTGGTGAATCAGTGACGGTTTGTTTGAGATGGAGATTCCGGTCGCTAGTTGTCGTGAGGTGGTGGGGTTTTTGGCGATGTTGGTTTTGGCATAATGGTGGTGGTTCTGGCTACATCGACGGTGCACTAGAGATTTGGGAGTTTTTTTGTGTAGTGGTGGTGGTGGTATTTTGTGTGGTGGCGGTTTTGTGGTGTGTGGTGTTGTTTTGGTAATGGTAGTAGCGGTGACTGGTGGTATGTGTGATGGTGTTGCTGGTGTGGTGCGGTGTGGCGATGGTGGTGTTGCAAAAATGGTGACGGTGGTAGCGGTGGTACTGGTGGTGGTTGTGATATTTTTGTTGGCAGTGGTGGTGTTGTGGGTTTGGTTGACCTGTGACCAAGTATTCGTGGTGGATCGAGATATCGGTGGTGGGGTGTTTGGTGCATGTGACCAACTATTTGGTTTATTGTGACTAACTATTAAAATGCGACATTAAAATTCAATAATTTGTGACTAAAAAATAATTTGTGATCGATAAATAAATTGTGACTTATAATTTTTTGATCTGTGGCCAATTGAATAAATTGTGACATATAAAATTTTTGATTTGTGACCTCAAAATAATCTGACCAATTAATTTGATAATATGTGACCAGTAAATAAATTGTAACTCATAAGTATACATCTGTGACCATGAATTGTATAATTTTGATTTTAATATATTTAATTAATTAACTAAATACCTAATTTTTGCATTTTTAAAACTTAATACCTGATTTTTACAATTGTAAAAGTTAATATCTGATTTATGAACTCTTCCCTTTGTCTAATTACCCGGAGTTTCTATCCAACAGTATCCAGTATCCACTATCTAATGTCATCAAATTTTGGGTCAAATATATTGGGCTCCATAATTATTACAAATTTGAAGTGCAAGGATGCAGAGAAAAGAAAACTATAAAATTTAATTCAGATTTTCGGGTCAAGTATTATTGCCTATAGAATTCAATAAATTATACAACATATATTTTTCAGGACCACAAAGGCAAGAAGAGACTGATGGAGTATATATTTTTTTCTAAATATCTAAATTTATGGGAAATCACTTGAAACATGATTGAGTCCTGTTCTGTATCTCAAGAACAAAACATGCTTGTAAAGGGCCCATTAATGATGACATACAGGCCAGGCCATTCTCGGATGAAACTTTATCAAAGGAATTTAAAGCAAGGTTTGACTATATTCACCACTTTCGGTGATAACCTTTGAGTATTAATCAAGAAAATTTGCACCCATGGAGTATCTAAATCATCACTTCATCATTCCTTTAAATTTGATCGCTTCAATTTTTACAGTTTCAACTTATTTCATTTAACTCTCCATAACTCTTCCTCATTCTCCCAAGTTATCTCATATTCGGACGACGAGAGTGTAGCCTGATAAGTCGGGCAGTGACTAATGTCCCAATAGTCGTTATAGCTTTTTTGATATTTGAATAGTTTTAAGTCGAAGATTTAAAACGAAATTCAATTAATATATGTGAATACAGATGGGAGGAATTTTATGTTATTATTAATTCATAAATAATGGCACAAAATAAAAAAGTTAGGTAAAAAATTTTCTTGGACCCTGAAAACATCATAAGGTCTAGTAGGCACGAGACCACTATAATGTCAAAACGCTCAACCCACCAACGCCAATCATGGACCACAATACATAATATAATTCCAGTTGGATGAATCCTATTTTCTCCTTGGGGTAAAATATAACCTACCCTACCCCACCCCACCCCACCCACCACACAAAACCCATAAAAAAAATTTAGTTTTTTTTGCAATTTTGTTAAAAAGATGAAATTTTTTTATTAAATTCAACTAGTCCACATACTTCAAAAAAATAATGAACCAGGACGTTCCATTGAGACAACGAGAGTGATAACAATTAGAAAATTGATCGAGATAAGATTTTAATTTGACTGAAGAATCCCAACAAATGAAATGGGAGTTTTCCCCCTTTTTCTACCAACTTCCTTCTTCAAAAATCCAAATAAACTTGGGACTTTCTCTAAATGGAGCCGACTTCTACTAAAAAATATGCAGTGCTTATCCATAAACAGAACTGTTCATTGAATATCTCCATAATTAAATGAGCTTCAAAATCTTATATTATAAATTTATAATGTTATCATGCTGTATAGTCATCTTCCACCAGCTCACAAATGCATATGCCACCATAAATATGCTAATGCGTGTCCATTAATGCATATCAATTTCTGCGTATGCACCTTTTTGATATGGAAATTTTGATATTTGCAAGAAATTTGAGCAGTATATAATTAGTAGAAACTCATAATTGAGCTTTTCACTTCTTTACACATTACTAATTCTGAAGGAAAATGCTAATTACTGAATACAGAAAAAAAAAATTAACAAAAAGGAAAAAGAATTGGAGAAGATGATCAAAACGCAGCAATTATATCAAGAAAAATTACCAGAAAAAGAAAAGGGGAAAAAAAAAATACCCACACTGCCTTCAAACATACCTGTAAAATTAATCTCTAAATTGACTGTAACTCTCAATAATCAGGCATCAGTTGACTGATTTTCCCTTCTTCATTCTCCACTTTCTGCTCAGTAACTCTCAACCATATACAAACAGCAGTGAAACTGAGGACCAAGCTCAAGAACCCACTACCCAATCCGATCCCCACAATGGCCAAAATCGATAGCCCTTTACTCTTCATCGGCGGCAATGGGTATCCATAAAGATCCTTATTCCCTTCATAGGAACTTGCATTGAACCGTGGCAAGTTCCCACTCCGGTTCCCCAGTGTCGTCGGAATAGGACCGGAAAGTTTATTATTCGAAACGTCGAAAACTGAAAGTCTCACAAGTAGGCCGAGCTGCTGGGGAATGGCGCCTGACAGCTGGTTATCGTGTAAATCGATTACGTTGAGATACGCACAGAGCGCCAATTGCTGGGGGATTGGGCCAGATAGATGGTTTGATGAGAAATTTAGAACCGCCAAATTGACCAAATACTGAAGCTCCGGCGGGATAGGACCGGTTAATGCGTTGGACGAGAGGTCCAGAGCCTGCAAATTTGTGCAATTCGACAGATAAGGCGAGATTGTGCCCTTGAGGTCCATATTGGAGAGTGATAACTTGTAGATGCGGCCATTGTTGCAGGTAGCACCCTGCAGGTAGGAGGTGAATCCCTGGCAAGGGTTAGAGAAGGTGACCTTAGTCCAGTTCTGCAAATTCTTCAATGGGTCTTGTAACGAATCGCTCAGATGAGTCAGACACCTCTCGTCGTTCGGATCCGCGGCGGAGAACGGCAGGGCTGCGCAGAAAGTTAGCAGGGCCGCTGCCAGTACGTGGTCCCAAACACCCATTTTCCAAATGGCCCGGTTTCCTAGGATTGTGTAAGAAGAATTAATTAGCGTTAGTTTATTGGAACTAAAATCTTGTTTTGAGGAGTGAGGATTATTGAATTTGGGAGGAAAATAGTTATCAGAATTTGCAATTATTCTCCTCTTCCGTACAACTGCCAATGCGCATGTCCAAGATTTCTTTATTTAAAGATTTGAGGAGGGTATGGAAGTATGAAAATGAGAGAGAGTGGAGAGCACTATGAATTTAAGGGGGTAGGGGTAGGGGTAGGGGTAGGGGTTGGTGAAAATTGAAGAAAGTGGAAGTCTAATAAAATTCAGACACGACTTTCAGCAAATTAGTCATCGAAGTAATTGATTCAAACAATGGATTATCGGTTGAATCAAAGATTCAGGGCCCGCTTTATTCTCATTATTGTAAAATGAGAATGAAAAATATAGTCGTTATTGGGCTCCACACAAGAAATAGAAATTTAAAATTGATAGTTTGATGTGATAAATAACGATCATATTTTTGATTTTTATGGATGAAAAATGAGAAACAAACGGAGGCTCAATATATATACAATTTAATTATTACAAGGCCAATTTAACATGAAAGTCAAAAAAGAGATTTTGAGATTCAAAAATTGCGAATAAATTCATATAATTAATTTTATAAAAGTGTTTCTTCAAATTAGAAAAACTTATAGAGAAAGTTAATTCTATTTGAAATTTCTCCGAAAACTCTTTCGAAAAGGAAGGTTCTATAAAAATTAATTTTCAAACATGCAATTTTCTCAAGAAACAAAAGCCTTGTAAAACGATACCCATTTTCTTTTATCTTTTCGAAAGAATATGTTTTTTTTTTAATTTTAACGAATTAATATTTGAATAATTATCGACAAGATCAAGATGGTAAGTGAATCATGCTACATGTACAACATTGGTTTACAACATTAGTTGACAACATCCTATTTGGCATCATCATATCCATCCATTTTAAAAAATTATTTTCTACATCACATGCTAGGATTTTGACAACACATGGTTGTCAATCAATGTTGTACACTTAGATCTATTCATGGTAAGAACACTTGTATAGGTCACGAGGGTATATTGAACATTTCATGCATGCATATTTAATACGGGGGAACCAATAAACCAATTGGCATATGTTACGAGGCATCCTTGTCCATCATCTTTTCCGTGGGATGATATATTCAAGGGACAGTTTGTCCGGAAATTCCGTGACGAGGGTTTAAATATCCTATACGGCAGGCACCATTGTTACTACTTACCGGCTCGTGCAGAGTTCCACTATAAAGAATGAAAGAATTACAATGTATTATTAAATTCTTATCTCTTATTTCTGTCACTACGACGAAAAAGTGTTCACGTGTTTATTAAATTTGTAAAACATCGCCAATTATGTCTCTCTTTTTTTTCTCTACTAGATTAAGGTAGATTGGTTCTCACGCGCAACACGTGTTGATTCTGAATGTTGTGGTTCTCGTGAGTGACTAGACGTATCTCTTTCACTCTAGTTTCTTGAAAATCATCTAAAGAAGTCCTAATGTACATGGCATTTTAATATGCTGATTATAAAATAATTTTGCTTTAATGAATATTAACCTACACCTATGTAACGTCAAATTACAATTGGATTTGTGAAAAAAAATTGTAGTTAAACTTTTACGTGCTTTTATCATAGTGGAGTCAATTCAAAAACTTGATACTTTTACAAATTTTGGTGGAAAATTAACCCGTTAAAAAGTACAAGTTTCAACGCAACCCACGCTATCCAAGTTTGGATGGATAGCCACCAAGTTCAACAATCTCTTGAAAATCAGAACGGAAAATATTAATTAAAAAAAATGTAAGTCTAAAGATCTAGGTCCAACATTACCCGTCCCTTTAGATAGACTAACTTACTCGACCCAATACGTCTTGAATTGTGCTGAGTTTGAATTGCGTCACAACTTTTTTTTAACATTTCTAATTTTAGAGAGTATGAAATTAGGTGGGGATTCAACTTATTTTAACACGTCTAATTCCAAGGGACAATTCGGCCCTTTTTAACATCTCTAATTGAAGTTGCATTCTTCCCTCTATCCCATGCACGTAGACTCTAACTGAACCTCTAGCTTGGTCTGTTCTTTCTCATCAAAGCATCTGCACAAAAACAAAAAGAAGAAACTTGAATAAGAAAAGGTTCCAAATATCAAGATTTGACACCTTATGATTTATCAACTGATAGTAACAAGAACCCAACACAAGTGCATACAGACCAACATTCTGTTGGGAACTAACTGGAGGTCAAAACAGGGTTCCTCGTGTAATTTAGGCCTATTGAAAGTGAAGGACCACCATTTGTTGGAGGGGTCCATAATATTTTTATTTTTTATTTTATTTTGTGTGATTCAAATTGGGTCTTCGTCTTCAACTTAAGCTAGATATTTGAGGCCCTTTGAGTGCATTATCCACTGGGACCTGGGCCCTCAGACAACATTATGTTATATAATTTGGTCCTTGGAATTACACCAAGAGAGTCTCCAACCAGACATTGTCACTTTTATACTATTTTCGTGGGTATATACCAGACAAAGCATTCTACGCGTGTGAGAGAGACGTATGTTTAATGGTCTTGTTGATAGTTCAATACCAACTTAAAATGTTTGGAGTTATTAGTTAGTTAAGCAATAGCTTCTATTGTAATTATAAGGATTTGTAGCATCTGCTTCTCTAGAAAATATTCCTCAGAAAGCTATACTATACGAGCTTCCTCTAAATTTCTTCCAGTCCGACAAAACATTTTCAAAAAAATATTCAAACGCGTTTAAAAGAAACTTCTGAAGTTCAAATCAGCTTTTGACTTTTAAAAGTCTCGTCAAATGGGCCCTAAATCTTTTGGCGTGTAAACAATGAGCAAGCGTACAAAATTTGCTAATTCTGATATCAAATTTCGTTCAGGCCAATACATAAACTGCTTTGTGTATTTTATAATTGATTACTCTAATGCAATCTTGCTATTAGATTAGATTAGATTTGTCTGGATCGAAATATATAAGACAGTATCTCCATTATTAAGGTAGCTTAAATGAGAATAATAATCAACATATGATAAATTTGTGTTACTATTTTAATAATGTTGACTTTTTAAGTTAGAACATCAAGGATCAATATAGTTTTATAGTCTCAAAAGTTCAGATGTGTCACTCGTTCCAGTAAAAGTTCATATGAGTTTGTGTCTTGACGAGTTACTACTTTACGGTGGCACGTCATTGGTAAGACTAAAGTATTTAAACCTGATAAATTAAAATAATAAACTAATAATTTCGAGAAATACTGTATAATTCAAGAAAGGATTGTGGTAAGAGGGAATAATAGATGAAATGATTGCTACTATACATTGGTGTGGTACATTTATATGTGGGGGTCAATTAATTTGAACAACAAATGAAGTCCATTCAGAGTTGTGCACATTAAATATTATGGGGCACCTCAACACCATCGATAAAGACATTGATGGTGGAAGATTCATAACAGTACTCTCCCTTTTCTAAAGCCTTTTACTTTGATTGCAAATATTTTTATGCCTTCTACTCGAAGGGATTACCAATTTTCTCACTCAAAACTTTACTTCAATAATCAACAAAAAATTTGGTTTTTACTGTGATGTGTTACTTGCAGAGAAAATCCAAATTGCGATAACGGAGGCAATCGCAAACTTTCTCATACCCTTTTGACTTTAAAAAGTGTATTATGTAATTGTTCTATTCTCTATCAACTCGCCCTCAATACAAATTTTGAAGTTAGTTTGTGCACAACATGCACGATATATATTTTTCAGGTTACAATAGCTCAATTGGACTATTAGAAATGAGATGTTAAAATTTGTATTTAGAGGTGGGTTCACTCTAGATAGAATAGAACATGAAACTACCAAAAATCGTACATATTGATTTTCGAGCTTTACGATTGAGAATAAGTACGAACAAGATCTTTCGATACCTGAAACAAAGACATCGAGGTGTGTCATCGTCTCCCCTCTGATGATTTAGCTAGAGATCATTTATGTGTGAGGTTATAGACCGAAAATTATGTAGAAGCATATCTGAATAATGATCAAAATCTTTGTTTTTATAGAGGTAGGTAATACACTCCTAATATGATTAAATGAGTTGAACACCTTTATCTGAATTGAGGAGTTATAGGATGTTTGGAAATCTTACCATATCTAGGAATTGAAATTTGATATATATTAGGCAATTGGTGTTTGGATGAAGATGTAACTCTGATTGTGGAGTCCCATCATGAGAGGACAAAAGAGATATGGTAGGACTCAACCTTATCGAAGTTGAATAAGCCTTATCATATAGAAAAATCCTAATAGATTAGGTTTGTTGGAAGCAATGTCAAGGCAAATACCCGAGAAGACCTATAATTGATGGACGATTTTCGTACCTGACGACATAGGTTGACGAGGTCTCTTTAGTTTGCCCCAAAGAGGTCGAGGACACGTACCCGAGGAGATCAAGTAAACTTCCTATGAAATGGCTAATATTGAACCTTGGGTATGTGATCCTCGGGTTGGACAGTTTTTTGCTATATCAATGGCCCCCGTGCATTCATGTCAAAGGCTTGCGCGATATGCGAGTTTCTGGAATAAGATGCACATGTTGGTTTAAAAAATAGGCATGTTTATGACAAGGAATATGCGTGCTCATGCCTAGAAATTGGCAAGCTCAAGCTTAGAAATTTGCATGCTTAAGCAAAGGATTAGGCCCGACCATGCCAAGGATTAGGCAAGCTCATGCTAAGAATTAGGCATGCTCATGCCAAGAAATTGACGTGTTGAAACCAAGATTTAGGCATGATCATGCCAAGAAGTAGGCATACTCATGGCAAGAATTAGGCATGCTCATGCCTAGAGGTAAACATGCTCATGCCAAAAATTAAGCGAGCTTATGCCAAGAAATGGGCAAGCTCATGCCAAAGATTAGTCATGCTCATGCCTAAAG